ATAGATAGATAGATAGATAGATAGATAGATAGATAGATAGATAGATAAATAGGGGCAGCTAGATGGTGCAGTGGATAGAGTACCAGCCCTGAAGTCAGGAGGACCTCAGTTCAAATCTGGCCTCAGACCAAAACATTTGACACTTACTAGCTGTGTGACCCTGGGCAAGTCACTTAACCCTAATTGCCTAAATAAATAAATAAAAAGCTCTTTCACCCATTCCCTTCTTTCCATCCACATAATAGCCACTGTAATAAAAAAATAATAATAAGGTTAGAGGGGCTGGGAGGATGAAGAAATCACTGCACTAAAGAGGTTAGCCAAGGCTTCCTGGAGACAGCAAGGCTCAAAATAAGCATTGGAGGACAGGGAAAGCCGGGAGGGGCTTCTTAGTGACAGGCACAGCTTGAGCAAAGATCAGGAATTAATTGCTCATAGGACAGGAAAAGCCCCATTGTGGCTGGAATGGAAGATGCATGTTGGGAAGGAGGAGATGATGCTGGCACAGTGTAAGCCAAACTACGGGGGTCTCATATGACAGGCTGAGTTGTCAGGTCAGTATCTGGGCAGGAGGTATGAAGCAGCCAAAATCGGTGAACCTGAACCTTGACCAGTCCTTTCAAGGCAGGAACACCCCTTGGACCTGGGCCAACCCTGCCTCACAATGGCTGGTATCCTGGAAAGGACACTGGCCCTGGGTTCCAATCCTGCCTCGGCCTCATTGCTACCTGTGTGACCACCAGCCAGCCACCTCATCTCTATGGGCCTCAGTTTTCTCATCTGTAAAAAATGAGAGGGTTGGATTAAAGATCCTCTAAAAAGTCCTTTCTGGCTCTAACTATGTGGTCTCATGAGGGTCTCTCCTCTGGGCCAGGTCCGTGCCAGGGCTGAGGTCAGACAAACATGGTTGTAGGAGGTGAGAAGTCAGGGCATGGGTAAGAATTCAGGCACCAGGCCGGGGAGCCTGATGGGAAAATTGAGGCATATGTAACAGGCAGAAGACAGGTGGGTGATGAGGGCTCTTTCCAGCAGGCAGGGCCCTGCCCCCTCTCCTTCTGCCAGGCCTGGCTCCAAGCTGGTCTCCTCTAGGAAGCCTCCCTCAGCACATTCCAGGATTTCTGTGTATAAAGGGGTGCTGAGCTGGAGTCGATGCTCCTTCCAAGTCCCTGAGGGCAGGGACCGCGTCTTGCCCATCATCCTTCGGGGCTCCCTCTGAGCAGAGCTAAGTCTCCCCCTCAGCCCCAGAGACTCCCAGACGGTAGGAATATCCTACCCTTGGCCTCACGGGCTCCCCTAGTGGCACTGAGGCACCTTCCCCGTCCCACCCCATTTCCCTCTTAGTGCCGGGGGCTCTTTGAGGGCAGGGCCATACCCCTGGGAATTGGGGGTTCACTTACCTCAGCCCGGCCCCCCGGAATTACAGCTGCAATGAGAACAGGGGAATCTCCCCTGAGAGTGAATCCAAAGCCTCCTTCGCCTCGAGTCAGGTGTATGGGCCCCTTCAGCCACCACTGGTTCTTGGCAGAGAACACGGACAGGGGCCCCTGTTGGGAGACAGAGGCCTGAAGGCCTAGCCACGTGCACGTGCTTCCCTACCCCTTTACCAATGCCGTGTCGGGATCGAATTCCTTGCAGGCAGTCAGCAGCGTGTTACACAGGAACCCCAACAGACTTGTAGTCAAGAGGTCCTGGCTTAGATGGCTACTTACTACCTATAATCCCAACCCTTCCTGCACCTCCGTTTTCTCATCTACCCAAAAGCTGTGACTTTCTATGTGACTTCCTTCCTTTTCCTGGGCTTTAGATTCCTAATTTAGGTTAATTACTTTTTTAAAAATTTATTTTATTTTTAATTTATGGAATAAAACAAGGTTAATCTCTTCAGAGGCATTTATACTGAGTGGGAGACAGGGTTAATGGTGAAATGAGGACATGGATGGAGAAAGGGTTTTGGAAGGTTCTTGAATGAGGGGTTTTTAAGCCCATTGGCAGAGAGAAAAGGATGGAAACAGACTGGAGGGGGAGAGTCTTGGGTTCCAGACTTGGCCATGAGTTTATTCTGTCCCTAGGCAAGCCCTTTGACCCCCTCAGGATGTGAAATATGAAGAAGACCTCAGCCACCTGTCTCCTGGAGTAACAGCAAGGAGACTATGAAAAGGGGTGGCTAGGTGGTACAATGGATAGAGTACTGGTCCTGGAGTCAGGAAGACCTGAGTTCAAATCCAGTCTCAGACACTTACTAGCTGTGTGACCCTGGGCAAGTCATCTCATTTCTGTTTGCCCTGGTTTCCTCATCTGTACAATGTAATAATAATGTAATAATAGCATCTACCTCCGAGGACTGTTGTGAGGATCCAACGAGATCGTATTTGTGAAGAGCTTAGCACAGCGGCTGGCATATTCGTAAACAGTATATAAAAGTTAGTTATTATTACTAAGGAAGGAATGGAATTGGGTTCCCTGGCCAGAGAGCAAAAGCCACAGGTCCCAAGGAGGGCCTTAAGGACTCACCAAGCGGTGAAAGATGTCTGTCACCTTCACCTGGGAGAAGCTGGGTGTCTTTATCTCTGGCTTCTGGTGGGTCTTGGCTAAAAATACAAAAATCAAAAATTGGTCAGATCAAAGACCAAAGAGAAAAGTCAGGACTGGCCTAATACATCATTCTCCCATCAAATGACATAAATAGAAGCACACATTTTTACCTCCCATGGGAAGCCTTCCCAGATTAAATACTCCCTTCTTGCCTCACCCCTAAGATTCTTCCCACCATCCGTCACCTAACCACCAGTCTGTCTCCCAAGAAAGACACAGACCAGAAACATCACCCCCGGAGAAAACAAGAAAAGAGGCTTTTCTTCAGCCTATCACCTATTTTCACTCAACTTGGCTTCTCTTGGACCCTGTATCCCACTGACCTACTACTCTCCAGTTAAAGGCCACATACCCAAGGTGGAGAAAGTGTCCCATCCCCCACTTTAACAAAGAGAGAGAAGAGGTAGACTTTGGTGGGGTACTGACCCATCGAAGTGGGGAGTCACGGACCAACTAGAATCCTGCTCTTTCTGGGCCTTAGTTTCCCCATCCATAAAGGGTTGGGATCTAAGATCCCTTTAGGACCTAACATTCTATGGGCTAATATTCTGTGTTCTAAAAATCACAAAATATCACATTCTCTACTGTAAATGAGCTAACATGGTACATGCAAGAAAACTCTGCAAATTCTCACAGGTTGTTGTATGATTGTCCTTCATTCTAGAACGGAACCATGACATCAGGGAGATGATGACATGACTTGCAATGGACTTTGATTTGAGTGAGGTAGGGTTGTGCAAGGTCACCAGCCTCACTTTCTCCTCCAGAGCTGTCTGGGTCCAGTGGCCAGATATTCATCAGGATGACTGGAGATGGCCCAGGATGCAATGGGAGACCTGGCCCTTTAAAGCTAAGGTCTTTTCGGGTTCTCACTTTGAGTGAGGTTCTATTTTGCCTCCATGTGAACAGAAGGCAAGAGTGAAGAGCCGAAGGAGCCCTAGGTTGAGAATGAGGATATCTGGGCTTCCTCCTCTGCCCATCCTCTGAGCTGTGAGGATCACGCCTCAAGAAAGATGTGAAAAGAATCCAAGATTTAGAGCTGGAAAGGACGACAGGCATCACCTAAGTCTAAGCTCCTCACTTCACAGAGGTCCAGAGAGAGGCATTTACCCATAGTTACAGAGGTTAAGTGGTAGCGGAAGAAGGAACTGCACCCACATTCCCAACTTCAGATCACATGACTGCCTCTTTGTAATGGATGAGGGAGATGAATTATTAACAAGTCAATTTCCTTATCTGTAGTAGCAGGGAAATGGTCAAGAGGACTTCTTAGGTCCCTTTGAACTCTAAATCTATGTCCTTGGGGGGCAGCTTGGTGGCATAGTGGATAGAGTACTGACCCTAGAGTCAGGAAGACCTGAGTTCAAATCTGACCTCAGACACTTAACGCTTACTAGTCGTGTGACCCTGGGCAAATCACTTAACCCCATTGCCTAGGAAAAAAACAAAACAAAAAAAAAAATAAATAAAATAAATCTATGTCCCTGGGAGATGCAGGGGATCATTTCTGTCCCCCTCCCTCTCTCCATTCAGGTAGAATTCTCTCCTTTCCCTCACCCTCCACTATCCATGGGAACCACACAACTCCCCCAATATGGTCCTGCCCCCAGAGTCCCCACTCACGGTGGACGTCAGGGGCTTCAGCAGTCTCAAAGAAGTCATCCTCGTGGTCAATCTCTGAGTACTTGGCCAGGGAGCGCCTGTGAGCCAGGGACACGACTTCCTGCAGCAGGTCCATCTTTCGAAGGATGCGGCAGACCGCATGGAGACGCAGGGCTTCCTCATGATTCATCATGGCCTTCCGCAGGTGCGCCTTCGCTGGAGAGGCTCAGAGGAGTTAGAGATGCCTGACCCCATCATGCTATCAAAGAGCTACTGAGGTTTGGAGAGGGGCCACAGAGCTAGCAAAATAGAACCCGAGTCTCCTAAATCCAAATTGATTCAAAAATGTTTATTAAGCACCTACTGTTTGCAGAGCACTGTGCTCAGTACTAAGGAAAATGGAAAATGTAAATAAGACATAACCTTGTCTTCATGGAATTCAGAATCTAGTTAGTATCCCCAGTACTTTGCACAATGGTTGGCACACAGTAGGAAGCTAGGTGGCTTGGTGGATAGAGCACGGGGCTTGGTTGGAGTCAGGAATACCTGAATTCTAATCCTGCCTCTGACACTTCATAGCTGGGTGACCCCGGGAAAGTCACTTCACCACTGTGTGCCTCAGTTTCCCCATCTGGAAAATGGGAATAAAATGGGCACCTACTTCCCAAGGTTCTTGCAAGGATAAAATGAGATATTTGTAAAACACATTGCTAACCTCAAAGTGCTATATAAATGCTAGCTGCTATCATTATTATTATTATATAAGTACTTAATAAATGTTTATTCATTTGTTCTTTCATGGGGGAGATAAGACATATGCCAGGATAATTATAATGCCAAAAAAAAATCACCCCTGCTTATTCCTTAAGGCTGTTGTGTGACTCTGATGAGACAATAATAGCTCCCATTTCTATGATGCTTTAAGGATTACAAAGTGCTTGCCCTTTGAGGTAAATGGTTTGGTATTAATGCTCCCGTTTTACAGTTGAAGGAACTGAGATTCTTAAAGGTAAGTATTGAAACCCAGGTCTCTAAACTCCAAGTCTAGGGCTTTTTCCATCCTTCATGCCATATATTCTCTGGAGCTGGGGGACCTAAGAGATCTAATCCAACCTCTTCATTTTCCAGATCACAGAATATCATAGTTAGAAGTGATTTCAAAGGGTCTCTTGTCCACCTTGTACCTAAGCAGGAGCCTGTTATTAAAACATTCCCATCAAATGGTCATCCAGCTTGCTCTTAATCTCCAGGGATGGGGAAATACACTACCTCCTGAGACACTCCATTCAGCATTTGGACAGCTCTGATACACAGTGGCTAGAGCACTTGGCCTGGAGTCAGGAAGACACATCTCCTTGAGTTCAAATCTGGCCTCAGACCCAGGCAAGTCACTTAATCCTGCCTGCCTCAGTTTCCTCATCTGTAAATGAGCTGGAGAAGGAAATGGCAAACCACTCCAGTATCTTTGCCAAGAAAACCCCAAATGGGGTCATCAAGAGTCAGACATAACTGAACAACAAAATAGTTAAGAAGTTATTCCTTCTGTGGAGCCAATGGCCATCTCTCCACAAATTTTTCCAACTGCCCCCAATGTTATCTTCTAGGGCCATGAAGAATAAGTCTAATCCCTCTTACAAGCAGCCTTCAATCAACTCAATCAACAAGAATTCCTTAACCTACTACTACTACATGTCAGGCACTGTGCTAGGCACTGGGAATAAAACAAATGATATTAGCTATACTCATGGGAAGGAGTTTTAGTATAATTTCAAACATTCTGATATTCTAGCTTTAAATACCAGAACACGGCTATCATGTTTGCCTTAAGTCTTCCTTTCTTCAGGTTAAACATCTACAATCTCTTCAACCAACCCTCATATCTCAGTCTGAGGCCCAGAGAGGTAGGTACATTAGCCGGTGAGTCAACCAGTGTTTATGAATTGCTCACTCTTTGCCAGGCACTGTGCTAAACCCCGGGAATAAGAAGAAAGACAAAAGACAGTCCTGCCCTCAAGTAGCTTACAGTCTAATGGAAGAGATAACCGGAAAATAACTATGTACAAATAAGATATATAAATATACATACATACATATGTGTGTGTGATAAATTGGAGATAATCAATAGAGGGAAGGCACTGGTATGAAGGGAGATTTCTTGAAGGAGGAAGCCAGGGAAGCCAGAAAGCAGAGATGAGGAGGGAGAGAGTTGTAGGCATGGAACACATCCAGAAAAAATGCCTGGGATCAGAAGGTAGAGTGTTTTAGAGGCTCTCCAGCCAGGAGGCCAGTGTCACTGGATTGCAGAGGATGTGAAGGAGAGTAAAGTGTAAGAAAACTGGAAAGGTAGGAAGGACTTTGAAAGCCAAAGAGAGGATTTTAGATTTGATCCTGGAGTCATCAGGGAGCCATTGGGGTTGAAGAGGTGAGAGGGACACACTTGCTTTTTAGGGAGATACCTGAATGGAGAATGGATTAGAGTGGGGAGAGACTTAGGGCAGAGACACCAATCAGCAGGTTCGTGCAATAGTCCAGGTGAAAAGGGATCGGGGCCTGCAGCAGGCAGTGTCACAGGAGAGAAGAGGGCACATAGGAGAGATAGTGCAAAGGTAAAACTGACAGGTCTTGACCACTGACTGTTTAAGACGGATGACAGAGAGTGAGAAGTCATGGATGACAGCTAGGTTTCAGGCCTGTAGGGCTGGGGGGATGGTGGTACCCTCAACAGTAATAGGAAAATTGTGAAGGATAGAGGGTCTAGGGAAAAGATAATGATTCTGTATTAGACAAGTTGAGTCACCTGCCCCAGATGACACAGGTACTATGTGGGCAGAGCTGGGATTCAAAAGCAGATATTCTACCCAAATCCAAAGCTAAATCATGCTGTGTCCCTCCTTGAGAGCCAGGACTGTGTCATTTTCTATCTTTGTATCCCCAACACCAAGCACAGCACCTAGCATACAGTAGGAGCATTCCCTTCATGTTTCCTCTTCTCCAGCCAATGCCATTTCCAGGTCTGGAACGGCCTCCTTCTTTCTCCTCCCCTTCTCCAATTCCCATTTCTTCAAAGCCCAGCTCTGGCCCCACATGCTCAGTGAAGGCCCTCCGAACCCCTACCCCTATGAGGATCTCTCTCCTCCCCAAATCTCTGCGCTGATTACATACTCTGGCATGTGCGTGTATTAGGGGAGCGGGGAAGGACTGAGGGGAGGAGGAGGGAAATCGTCCTCTGTGTGGGAGGCATCTTCCCAGCTGGGCGCAGCATGCTGGTTCTACTCTCTGCTGGGTCAACAAAGGCCTTAATTAGGCAAAGGAAGACTTGGCTGGGGGAGTGATGACCTTGTCAACAAAGGGGTGGGGTTGGGGCATGGCCGGCAGTGTCCCAGGAGTGTAGCAAAGTAGGGACTGAGTAAAGATTGGCAAGTCTAGGCTGGAAGGTTTCTAGGAGTGGGGCTGGTGGGGAAGGGGCCAGGAAGAACACTGCCCACTCGGTAGGCCAGGGCAGGCACTCCCTATAGAGCTGCTGTTTCACCTAAACACAGGGATTACTCCCCCAAAAACAGCCGGGCAACACCTTCAGTGTCTTGGGGGCTGAGCTAGGGGAGGGATCTAGCTGGACTAGGGTGGGGCGGGGGTGGAAGGGAACCAGAGAGAGGATCCAGACATCCAGGTCTGGAAGAGCCAGGTGGGAGGGAGGACAAGTGGCAGGGTGATAGTATTTAGAGCTAAAAGAGATCTTAATAATAATACTAATAATAATGATTGGAGCTAGCATTTATATAGCCCTAATGACATGCCAGGCTTTACAAATATTATTTCATTTGATCCTCACAATAGCACTAGCAGGTAAATGCTATTATTATTCCCATTTCACAGTTGAGGAAATTGAGGCAGAGGTTAAGTGACTTACCTAGGCCAAACCTCTCATCTGACTTGCCCAAAGTCACACATCCAGTAAGGGTCAGAGTCAGCATTTGAACCTAGAGCCTTCGACACTCCCTCTCCCAACCCAGTAGTGTTTCTGCCACACCACATAACTGGGCCAGGCTGTCACCATGCTGTGTCCTTACAATTTGCCCACCAGTGTCAAGCTTGCATCCTGAGATTCCTCGTGTTATAAAAACTTTCCTTCTCTCTCTAAACAGCCACCTGAGCTCCAGGACATGCTTGATTATGCACCATTGAGGAAGGGGAACTGGGACAAAGCATGGAGCAAAAGCAACCCAGGTTCCCCGGCACCACCCTCGTCCTCCCCAGGCTGAGGCCCGTGGGGCCCTTTCCTTCGGCCCTTGTGGACCCTTTACCGAGTCTTCTCCGCTCCTCTGAGTCCTGAAGGAGGACAGGCAGCGAAGGGCCCTCAGGCACCGTAACGTGGAACTGGAGAAAAGCTTTCTCATATTTGGGAATCTCGGAGTCTGCTACAGCTGCCAAGAGAGGGACAGGGAAAGGTGGCTATGAGCCTTCTCTACTGAGTCTATGAGTCTCCTCCTCCAGGAAGCTCTCCTGATTGATCATCCAGCCTTGTTCAATTTACTCCGGGATTCTCAACACCCTCAGTATTTATAACTCAGCTTGTACCATATATTTAAAACAAGAAGGGCCTCAAAGATCATTTAATCTAGGGGTTCTTAGCCTGGGGTCCATCAACTGCCCCCCCAGGGGGTCCATGAACTGGAATGGAAAAATAATCACATCTTTATTTCCATATAATTGGTTTTCTTTGTGATTCTATGTATTTTATTTTTTATATTTGAAAACATTATTCTGAGAAGGGGTCCACAGCTTCACCAGACTGCCAAAAGGTCCACAACACAAAAAAGATTGAGTCTGATCCTCTCATTAAGGCGGGGAATGTCACACAAGTAGCAAGCGACTGGCAGAGCATCTCAGCCCTGGCTCATGAGCAGGGGCCATATTTCAATTTTCATCATCTCTCTACAATCCAGCCCATCCCACCAAACCTTGGTCTCCCTAACAACACCCAGGATAGGGAAAGATTTGGCCAACTCTTCTGAAACAATCACAGAGACACTGGTGACAAGGAGGGCAAGAAGAAGAAGAATGACGTTGTGACACGGTCCCAAAGGCTGGTACGCTCTCCCAGCAGGCCGCTCCGGCGAGCCCCGGGGCCATGTCTTCTCTGATACTCCCCTCTCCCCAACACTCACACAGTCGTCAGTAGGGCGGGAGACTTTCGCTTCTGCTTGGGAACCTGGGCTCTGGGAGACACCTCCTTCCTATGTCTAATCTCTCACAACAAATAAACTGCCCAGGAGGCGACAGTGTCAACAAAGCAATCTAACTCACTGAGAGGGTGGTTATAACAACAAATGAGCCGGATCAAGGCAAAATATTTTTTAAAGGAGTCAAACAGTCAGAAGAGATAACAGTGTCCATAAAGCAACTGAGCACCAGAGGGGCCGAAACACTGTGAACAAGCAAGCAGAGAAGGTCAAAGGAGCAGGCAGAGGGGGCCACATGCAAGGCTTTGGTGGAAAGCATGACAGCGTCAGCACGCGTGTCCTGCCCCAAGCAAGGGCAAGGGTCAACAAAGGAGGTGGGAGGGATGAGAGAAGGGACAGTTGGCAGGCTAGCTTCCCCCCAGCCCCCGGGCTCAGGAGGGGTGTGGGAAAGGAAGGGAAGTCCAGGAGCCGGGCCAGATGGGACTGGACGTTTACTCACAGGGCCCATCACAGAGGGCAATCGCAGCATAGTAGTGGGACAGGCCTCGGAAGTGTTTGGCTTTGACATTCACCATGGTGGTCCAGGAGAAGGGCACGTAGTCTCTGACAGGCGGCTGGACCATGGTCTGGTACACAAGGGAGTACACGTCCTCCACCTGCCAGCAGTGGTACCATGAGTGTGGCACATCAAAGCAGGGGGAACAGGCAACCCCCAAGCCCCCCGCAGCCCCTGCCCACCCCGACACAGAGGAGCCAGACCGCTCACTGCCCCTGTTCTTCCTCCCTGGGCCTGTCCCTCTCAGTCTCCTCCCCCTGCTTCTATCTGCCTTCTTCTCCATCCCCCACTCAATTCCTGCTGATGTACCTTCACCCCCTCCTCCAACCCTCCCTCTGCATCTTTCTCTCCCATCTACTCCTGTCACTTCCACTCCTCTGTTTATGCCCTTCAACCTTCTCCCTTCACCTGCCCATCACCTCCTGTATTCCTTCACCTTCTCCAGTCTCCTCTCTCTAAATTCACTCCCTTCCTTTTCCATTGCTCCTTCAACTCTCCTGTCTTTTCTGTTTTTCCCCTCTCTATCTGCTCTTCTGCCCCTTCTGTCTCTTCCCTTTCATTCACTCCAGTCACCTCCATCCCTTCACACCTCCCTTCTTCTTTTTCCATAAAGTCCAGGCTCTTCCAAGACCCTATACTTCCCTCGACGTTCTCCCTCCCTCTACCCATCATCTTCTGAATCCTCAACCGCTCCTGTCTTACTCTCCATCTCTTCTTGTCTCCTAGTATCTATCATCATGTTTATCTGTTCACCCATTCCTCTATCCCCATCCTCCATTTACAACACCCATCTCGTCCCCCATCCCTCCACCTCATCTTCTATCCACCATCTAGACCTCTCTGTCTCTAACTTCCTCCATCTATTCCCCCTTCCCTTCTCTCATTCCTTTCCTGGCATGAGAAAAAGGCCTGAAGTCCCCACAAGCAGGAGGTGTGCACACACACACATACACACACACATGCATACACACATGCACGCATGTGCACGTGTGCGCGCACACACACACACACACACACACACACTCTATCCCCTTCTCAAGCCTAGGGTTCAGCTGTGGAGGGAAAAAAACTAGAGCCATGAAAAAAAAAGTGAGCTACAGAAAGACAGCAAGACACAGAAAAAGAGAAAGAGGTAAAGATACAGATGGACAAAAAGACAGAATGAGAGAGATGGCATGAGAAGCAGAGAGCTATGATGTTGAAACCTGGCTGTGAAAAGCCCCTTATATTCCAGCACTTTCTTGGCCCATTCCCGACCACCATCATTTCTATAAAAGGATGGAAAGCCAAGTTATGTGGAATGAGGGGAAAGGATCTTTCATCATCTCATCCCACTCCAAAGAGCTAATTCCACTGAGCCCTCCATCTGTCTTTTCCCAAGCTTGGTGGCAGCTAGGTGGGTGGCATGGTAGACGCAGCGCTGGACCTGGAGTCAGGAAGACCTGGGTTCAAATCCAGCCTCAGACATTTACTGCCTGTGTAACCTTGGGCGAGTCATTCAACCTCTCTTTGCCTCAGTTTCCTCATCAGCAAAATGAGGATAATAATAGTGCCTACCCCCTAGTGTTGTTGTGACGATAAAATGAGATAATATTTGCAAAACACTTTGTGAACCTTAAAAAGCTATATGAATACTAGCTATTATTGGGATACTGGGCATCAATCTCTTCCCATCATTCAAGTCTCCTGAAACTCCCTATGTGCCCTCACCCCGGGCAGTCTTCTTGAAATGATTAGAAATTAATTGAGCCCCCAGGTCTCTATTCAAAACAACGCCTGCTGCCTTAACACAGCCTGTGTGCCGTGTCTATGAACAGCCAGCACCACCTACCAATACTGGCCACAGCATCAGATCACAGAGCTGTAGTTAAAAGGGACCTTCAAAGTCACAGGCAGTATCTCACATTGAAAAAGAATACCGTGGTTAGTCAGAGGACCTGGGTTCAAATCCCAATCCTCTCCTGTGTGACCTTGGACAAGTCATTTTTCTAGGCCTTCATATCTCCCCATCTATAAAATGAGGCAGTTAGACCAGATGACCTCCAAAATCCCTTCCAGCCCTAAATCTATGAACCTACGGCTAGTTTAAGCCCTTTCATCTTACAGTCAAGAGAACTGAGGCCGAGTGACTTGACTACATCAGATGGGTAGTAACAGCATAGCAGGATTTGAACCCAGGTCATGGAAGCACCCGCTTTCAGAGTCGCAAAGCTTCTCAGAGGCCATCTAGTCCAACCCCCACCTAGAAAGGAACCCCCACACTATAACACAAGACAAGACAAGTAGTCAAGACTTTCAGAGAGGGGAACCTACTCTGTGCTGTGACACACGGCAGATTTCAACATGGCGACACTCTTATCGCTGCACCATTCTCCATCTGCAGATTGTTTACTTAACTGTCTGGGTTAGGATCTGTTGGCATACCACGACTGAGGTTAACTCTAGGGAAAATTGTACTTATTTTTACCTTTTTTTTCTACTCAAGGCCTATGGCTTATGTTAAACTCCCTTTGATTTGCCAAGAAACAGAGCAGCTAGAGTACTGAGCTTGGGGTCAGGGAAGACCTGGGTTCAGATCTCACCTTTGAAACTTACTGGCTTTGTGACCTCAGGCAACTCCATGGGATTTACTAATTGAGTCAGACAGTTGTAATGTACGGAGTTCCCAAACGAAGATCTCCCTATGCTGACAAAATTAAAAATCCTTCAAATAATATCGATTTGTTAATGAGGACAACAGCCATAATTTAAACAAACACCAGGTCCAGAAGGGTATCTACACAGGGACAATCTGATAACCCGCTAATCAGAGGATAGCCATGACTTACGTCAGTGGGGTCAAACAGGACCATTGCTTACATAAGGTTCCCTGTGTGCTGCACATTAACTTAGAAAACCACATATTAAGATTAACTATGTTTCTATTGTACTTTTATTTATCTTGTTAAATATTTCCCAATTATATCTTAATCTGGTTCTGCCACACACTCAGGAGTGTTGTGGGCAGCTAAGCCATGTGTGACACCATAACACCTGTAACTGGTGATGTAATACTGCTTATGACTGGGAAGACCTATTTGAAAGTTAGTCGGACTGGGTCTTTATCAATAATAGTGGTAGTGGTGATGATCAGGGTCATTCTAGGAAGAACAATTAGCAAACAGATTTAAGACTAAGAGTGTCTTCTAGATAATACAAGTATAGTAAGAACAGTAGGACACTGGTTTTCTCCAAGTGACATTAGATCACATTTCCCACATTGGCTGTTCCAAACCTCTTTCTCAATTTTACAGCTCTCCTTCCCCTAATTCTCTCATTACAGATGACTTTGCCATCATGCTTATTGAGAAAATCAAGGACATCTGCTGTGAGCTCTGGCAACCTCCCTACTTTATAACTCAAAACCCCTCTGCACCTTCAGGCAGTCTCTCCTCTTTTATCCAGTCTCTGACAACAAGATGGTCTTTCTAGTCAAGGCCAACCCTCCCCTCCTGCGTCTTCTAAGAGCTTGCCCCTCCAACCATTCCCTTTCTTTCATCTTCTTTCTCTGTTTGTATTGTCTCCTTCTCTTACGTCTACAAACATACTCAAATGTCCTCTATCCTCAGAAAACCCACCCTCAACCAGGACCCCCACTCAAGTTATCTTCTTATTTCTCTCTTTCCTTTTATTGCCAAACACTTAGAATCATCTATATTTGTTCCTCAATGTCCTCACTTCCCCCTCACTTCTTAATCCCTTGCAATCTAGTTTCCCAGTCTTACCACTTAACTAAACCTGTACCTCCCAAGCTTATCAATAATCTGTTTATTACTAAATCCAATGAGCTTTTTTTTTTTTTTTTTAGTTCTTATCCTTTTTGACCTCTCTGTAGCATCTGACACTGCTGGCCGCTTTCTATTCCTAGACATTCTTTCCTCTCTTGGCTCCCATGACACCATTCTCTCCTGGTTCTCCTCCCACTTGCCTGACTGCTCCTTCCCAGTCTCTTTTCTGGTTCATCCCTCCTCAGTGTCCTAAATCTATATATATGTAAAAACAAAAATAAACAACAAAAAAAAGCTGTATCCTGGGCACTCTTCTCTCTCCACTTTTCTTCCTTAGTAATCTCATCAACTTCCATGGGCTCCATTATTATTTCTACAAATGGCTCCCAAATCTACATATCCTATCCTATTTCTATCCTCAACTCCAATTACACATCGCCAACTTCCTCCTGGACATCTCTATTGGATGTCCCAAAATGGAAATCATCATTTTTCCCATTAAACTTGCCCTCCCTCCAAACTTCCTTATCTGTGGCCAGGGTACCACCACCCTCCCAATCACCTAAGCTTTTTATCTCAGTCATCCTTGACTCTTTCCTCCTCCACTCTCCCACTCCATTTCCCATTCAATCAGTTGCTGAGCCTAATCGATCCACAATCTCTCTCACATCCACTCTTTTCTCTACTTCCCACATAGACCCCACCCTTGTTCAGGTCCTTATTATCACTTGTCCAGATGACCATAAGTGCCCTCCACTTGGCTTCCTTGCCTCCAGTCTCTCTTGTCTCTAATTCATCCCCCACATATCTGCCAGAAGAATCTTACTAAGGCATAGGTCTGACGCCATGTTTCTCTCCTGCTGAAAAACCTTAAATGGCTTCTGATTACCTATAGAATAAAATATTCCTCAACCTGGCCTTTAAGGTCCTCCACAATCAGGTCCACCTGACCTTCCCAGCACTATTTCACATGACTTCTTTTCACCCACTTTATGTTCCAGTCAAATTACTGACAAATCCAATGGCCTTCTCTCAGTCCCCATCCTTCTTGCCTCTTTAGTCTTTGATACTGTTGATCATCCTGTTCTCCTTGATGCCCTCCTCTCTCTTGAGTTTACTTCTTTCTAGGTTGCCTGATTCTCCTCCTATATATATGACTGCTCCTTCTCAGTCTCCTTTGCTGAATCTTCATGCAGGTCTTGCCCACTAAATGTGGGTGTCCCCCAAAGCTCTGTCCTGGGTCCTCTTTTCTTCTCCCCCTATACTGTTTCACTTGGTGATCTCATTTGCTCTCAAGGTTTCAATTGTCATTTCTATGCTAATGATTCTCATTTACTTACCCAGCCCCAATCTCTCTCCTAGCTTCCAGACTCAAATCTCCTGCTGCCTATTAGACATCTCAAACTGGATGCCCCATAGACCTCTTAAATTCAATACATCCAAACTGACCTCATTATCTTTCCCCACCAAACTTTGCTCTTCTCCAAAGTTTCCTAACACTGTCAAGGGCACCACCATCATTTCAGTCCTCCAGGCTCATAATTCGGGTGTCTTCCTCAACTTTTCACTCTCTCACCCCACCCCAATATTCAATCTGTTGCCAAGTCCTATCAAATTTACCTTCCTAGTATCTCCCACCTATGCCCCATTCTCTCCTCTGGCACTGCCATCACCCTGGTGCCCCATCACTTCATGCCTAGACCACGACAACGGCCGACGGTTGCCCCAAGTGTTTCCCCACTCCAGTCTATCCTCCACTCAGCTCCCAAAGCGATCTTCTTAAAGTACAAGTGTGACCATGCCAGTCCTGTTATTCAGTAAGCTCCAATGGCTCCCTGTCACCTCCAGGATCAGACACAAAATCTCCTTTTTGGCATTCAAAGTTCTTCGTGGCCCAGCCCTCTCCTAGCTTCTTCTTAATTCTTACACTCAACCCCATACTCTGTGATTCAGCGACACTGGCCTCCTGGCTCTTCCTTGTACAAAACGCTCCATCTCGAGACTATGGGCATATTCACCGGCTCTTCCCCGTGCCTGGCATACTCTCCCTCCTCACGCCTCCTTTAAGTCCCAATAAGAATCCCAGAGGCTGGAAGTCGGCTTTCCCAATCTCCCTGAATTCTAGAACCTTCCTCCGCTGATTATCTCTAATTCATCCTATCCATAGCTTGTTTGTACAGAGCTGCTTTCACGCTGTCGCCTCCATTAGCTCTCGAGGCAGGGGCTGTGTTTTGCCTTTCTTTGCATCTCCAGGACTTCACACAGTGCCTGGCATGTAGTAGGTGCTTAATAAATGCTCAGTGACTATTCCCCACACTTGCCACTCCATCTCTTGCTCTTATGCATCTGTGCACAATTTCCTCCATGCCTGTAATGCACTTCTTCCTTAGGTCTGCCTCTCAGAAGGAACATGCCTCTTCCTTCCAAGACTCAATTTCATTTTATAGATGAAGAAACTGAGGATCCTAGAGGGGACTGGACTTGCCCAAGGTCACATAGGTAAGAAAAGGTGGTGCTGGGATCCAAATTTAGGTCCTTAGATATGGGGGGTAGCTCCTGCTTCAAAGACTGACTCATCTCCCTCCCCATCAGAGGCAACCAACCACTGCCTCAGCCCATCCTGGAACCCCTCATCATCCTCCAGAACTCGATCTGGGGAGGTAAGTATTCAGTAAGGGCCATACCCGGGCTGCTTCCTGGGCAAGTCTCATCTGGGAGAGAGGTTCTCGGGGTGTCCCGGACAGGGTAAGCTGCTCAAAGACGCACTCCTGGACCTGGGCGGTCATGAGCCGAACCAACATGCACAGAGAGGCCACACTCATGTCCAGGCTTGGAGCATTAGAGAAGTTTTCCTTCAGGTAGTTAAAGGCACCTGTGGGATCAGAGACACCATCTGGGAAATGGTCCCCTCTAGGTTCCACAAAATTCCTTCTCAACCCTTGGGTCCAACTGTAGCCCCAAACAGGGAACTCAGGCAATTGAGCCTTGAGGGTCAGGAAGGCAGCAACTCTTTCCTTCCAATATTCCTGACAAGGGCACCAGCCTCCCTCCTACTCTGAGACTGTCTACAGGGAGTAGGTCAAATGTAGAAGAGCCCAAGCCTCTGAGGATGTGCCCCGTGAAAGGGCCCCTAATACTTTAGCTATAGAATGGAGTATGTTGGCAGAAGGGAGAGGAGGAGATCAAAGTGAGACCTCATCCTGGCACAGCAGGCTGTCTCCAATGATCCTGGTGACCAGGGTGGCATATTCTATATAGCTCGTGCCTGTGCATGCCCATGGGAGGACTCTTATGCATTGGGCTGTGCTTCAAGCGTAGGAATACAATGTCACAAGGTCATTGAGGTCCTTCTATCTTTTCCCAGTTTCATCTTCAGTCAAGAGACCTTGATACCAGGCAGATCAAAACATGACTAGCTCCTTCCCCTCTGCCCATACTCTCTTCCAATGTGGCATTTAGTCTTGCCCTCACTTCCCCACCACCTAATCCCTGTGCCTATTCACTGCCCCAGAAACCATCCCACTAGAGTTTATTATCTTTACCCACTGGCTCACCTATATACAGAGTTTTTGTTTTGTTTTAATTATAACTCTCCCCACCCTAAAGCCAAGTGAAGACAGGGGCATGTCTCCTTCTCCTTCTGACTCCCTTATCCCATACTACAAAGATCAAAACAAAAATACATGCACGTTATATGCAAACTGGGCCCTATCATATGCAGCAGTTCCAACAAGAGATGATTATGTTGCCCAAAGGTGGCCATCCCATCTCTGGGAGTGGGGATACGTACCTGCCGCTCTCTGGAAGGCCTCGATGGCACAGTCAATGCCTATCCTGGTGCCCCGGTCCTGCCGGGCCCCAATCTGGGTATAAAGGGCACCAATGTTAAAAAGGACACTCCCCTTCTCAAAAGCCAGTGTCCTCTGGTGGGAGGGGACCCCAGTGAGGGAGTCATACCTGCAGAAAGGAAGAGAAATGGAAGTCTCTGAGCCACACTGCAGAGTTCTCCACCCAATACATATATGCCCATTCACAGAACTATTGGCTCAGCCACCTCTTCATGCTTTCATCAGGCCAATCCATGCGGACCCAGACCAAACCAGGATACACCGGGGGTGAAGAAGACAGGAGGAAGGAGATAAGGCATAATCCCTGCCCTCAGAGAGCTCCTACTCTGGCTGGGCAGATAAGACTCACACAGCAGAAAAGCTAAACGATTTCTTCATCTGCCTGTAAGAGATGCTCTAGATGGGATCCCCGTACCAGAGGGAGAAGGTGAACAGACTTAAGACGCCCTGTGAGGTTTCTTCCTGCTGTCAGGTTCCAACAGTTCAAGATTCCATAATTTCAAGTTTCTGTGAGTTTAAAATTCTCAGAATCCTTCTAAGACACCAATGTTCTATGAGTCTAAGGTCCGACAATTTGGTGATTCTATGAAATATTTTATTTCAGGTCTTCCCTGATCTAGGATTTTGTCATTTCCTCTACAGACGCATATCACACCCTCTCTGCGAATTTAATCCATGGTCAAGGCTACTTCCTGGAGCTGCCCACTCCACTTTGGGACAAATCTAGCCCAAATCCCCTCTACAACAATAACCCCAAAACATCCATTTTTTAATGCCCAGTCTCTGATCAAACACTTCTAGTGAAAGGGAGTTGAAGGGGGCAGCTAGGTGGCACAGTGGATAGACCACTGGCCATGGATTCGGGAGGACCTGAGTTCAAATGCGGCCTCAGCCACTTCCTAGTAACTGTGGGCAAGTCACTTACCCCTGATTGCCTTAAAAAAAAAAAAGGAGCTGCTCATTACATTCCAAGGTGGCCCATTCCAAAGGTTTGACTATTGCTTTCCACCCAAGATGGTAGCTGCATATGAGACTAAACTTCAGGAAAATGGACAAGGGGGAGAAGAAAGAGGACACGGTTAAATTTAGGAATGTTTGGCAGACTTTCACATCAAAATTAAGGGCACAGGCCATGCCCTGTGTCCCAAGCCATTTTCTGTATCTCTGAGGAAGGAGACGCTAGCTCCTTATCCCTTGCTCACCAGTGGAAGAGGACTCCAAGGTTTCTCTTGGGAGAAAAGAAGCGGATGTCCAGGAAATAGAGCTGGTTATAGTATTCCATGAGGAGGTCCAGACCCACCTCATTCCTGCTAGGGGTTCGAATGGCCTGTAGGAGAGAGAACCCAGACAGTTGAATCAACAAACATTTATTCAGCTCTTACTATGTGCCAGAAACTGGGCTGAGTAATTAGATAAATAAAAAAAAGGTGAAAACAGTCCAGCCCTAATGGAGTTTACATTTCTTATAGAGACAAAATGAAAACAACTACATACAAACAAGTTAGATAGATAGGATAAATTGGAGATAATCTCAGTTTCCCCAATTTGAGATAATCTCAGAGGGAAGGCACCATTAACTGGGATCAGGAAAGGCTCTGGCAAAAAGTGAGATTTTTAACTAAAGCCTCAAGGAAGCCAGAGAAGACAGGAGGAGGAGGTGAGGGAGGAGAAGATTCCAGGCATGGAAGGCAGCTAGTACAAAGGCATGGAGTCAGGAGATAAGAGAGCGTCTTGTTTAAAGAACAGCAGGAAGTCCAGTGTCACTGGATCATAGACTAGAAGGGGGCTGGGAGTATTAGGCAAGAAGAGACATTCCAACCTCTTCATTGTAATGACGGGGAAACAGAGGCCTAGAAGGGAGAAGTGGTTTGCCTACAGTCACAGAGCAAGTGAGTGTCAGAGGCAGGGCTAGAACTAACTAACTCTCAATCCGGGTCTTTTTCCACCACCTGACTTTAGCTGGGAGGAGGGGAGGTAGAGTGTGGAACTCCAGGATTTGGGGAAATACCATATGTATGTGGTAGAATGGATAGAGCTCCAGGCCTGGGACCAAGTTCAAATCCGGCCTCATTTACTACCTGTGTGACCATGGGAAAGTCACTTAACCTCTGTTTGCCTCGGTTTCCTCAACAGTAAGTTAGGGACAATAATAGCACCTATCTCTCAAGGTTACTGTGAGGACCAAATAAGGTAATAATTATAAAGCAGTTGGCACAGGGCCCAGCACAGTGCTATATAAATGTTAGTTGTTTTTGTTACTGTTATTATCATTATCATCTCCTCGTCAGAATGGAGGCCCTCTGAAGGCAAGTAAGGATCACATTTTTTGATTCACTGGACCTCAAACAGTCATTTTTGACTAGTACCAAAATTTTCTCTAGTATAGAGCAAATAAGATGGGATTTGGAATCTGGACCTCAGTCTTCTCATCTGCAAAATGAGGGGGCAGTGCTAAATAATCTCAAATGTCCTTTCTACCTCTTTACATAGGGCAGAATTGGGATTCAAGAGACTTGGGCCCTAGCTATTTCCACTTGGGGCAGCTGGTTGGTGCAGAGGATAGAGTGCTGGGTCTGGACTCAGGAAGACCAGAGTTCAAATCTGGCCTTAGACATTTATGAGCTGTATGACCCTGGGCAAGTCACTCTGTTTGCCTCAGTTTCTTCATCTATAAAACGGGGATAAGCACCTACCCTTTTTCCCCCACCTCCAGGTTGCTGTGAGGATAAAATGGCATAATATTTATAAAGTTCCTCACACAGTGCCTGGTATTTTTTCAGTCATTTCAGTCCTGTACTACTCTTCATGACCCAATTTGGGGTTTTCTTAGCAAAGATACTGAAATGTTTGCCATTTCCTTCTCCAGCTCATTTTGTAGATGAGGAAACTGAGTAGACAAGGTTAAGTGACTTGCCCAGGGTCACACAACTGAGGCCAGATTTGAACTCAGGATGCTAAGTCTTCCTGACTTTAGGGCCAGTACTCTATCCACTGAGTCACCTAGCTGCCCCTGGCACATAGTAAGCACCATATAAATGTTAGCTGTTACAGTTTAAGTGCTTAGCCCAGTGCTTGACACACAGTAGGTGCTACATAAACGTTAGCTATTATTGTTATTATTATTATTACTTGCAGAATCACAAAAGTTTAAAGCTAGAAGGGACTTGAGAAAAATCTAGTCTAATTCCTTCATTCTTACAAATTGGGAAAATGAGATCAATACAAGTAAAGTGAGCCGCCCAGGGCCAATCAGCCAATAAGTGGCAAAGCCAGGATTGGAACCCAGGGACAGTTATCCCTTCCACATTGTGACTTTCCCCATCGCAGTTTTGATATATTTTGGGTTGGCATAAGAAATTAAATGGGAATTTTGGGGGAGTTTTGCAGAAGCCCCCAACAACACACAAAGGCCAGCAGATGACACAGAGTCTATGATCAAATACTTAACCCAAATTTTACAATAAGGTACTATAAACACCCCATGAAAGAAAAAGAAAAAAAATTCAGACTTCTTCTCTGGTACAAAGGGAGGACCAAAAACATTTTACAGAGGTTTTCCAGATCCTGGGGGCACCGGGCCCCTAAACCTGCAATGTGGCAGGCATAACTGTATTTTCTGATTCCAAGTCCAGCTCCTTCCACCCACCCTGTCCTCCCCCTTGAGTTCTTTCTCCATGCCCCTCCCCCTCATAGGGGTGCATATAGCACATGTTCTACCCACTCTTATCTACATGGTCCATTCAGTAACTGGCCACCTGCCCACACACCTGTCTCAGGTCCATAAGCTTCTTGATCTCCACGTCATAGGAGGTGCTGTCCTCGCCATAGTGTTCTGAGATCATCTCCTAGGGATTGAAAGGATGGTGTTCAGTTCCGAATGTCCCATTTTAGGAAAGCCATGGATAAAGTGGAAAGTGGTTTTTGTTTTTATCTCTCTGAAATGCTTTTCAAAATGTCTTGAGAACTACTTCTACCCTAAGGTAGTAGGATTATTTTAGTAAAAAGAATGTTTCTTTGGACGGCAGCCAGGATGGTGAAAGGGACTGAAACCATGCTGTAACTGGACCAGATAAAGGGACTAGGGATGCTTATCCTGGAGTACAAAAACTTAGCAGGGCCCAGCAGTTATCTCCAAGTATTTGAGTCAAAATGGCAGAGTGGATAGAGCAATGGACTTGGAGTCAAGAAGACCTGAGTTCCAATCTTCCCTCAAACATTAAATAGCTATTCAACCCTGAGCAAGTCACCAAATCTCTCAGCCTCAGTTTCTTCACACATAAAATGAGAGGGTTGGACTCATTGACCCCTAAGGTCCCTTGAGCTCTAAATCTACGTTCCTATGGTTTGAAGGGCTATCACAGAGAAGAGGGATTTGAATTGTTAGGCTTGGCCCCAGAGGGCAGAACTAGGAATGGGTGGAAAGTATAGACTTAGGTTCAGTATACAGAAAAAACTTCATAAAAATTAGAGTTATCCAAAAGCAGAACAGCCCTCCCTCGGGAGGAGCTCAGTAGAAGTCTTCAAGGGACAATTAGACGACCCCTTCTTGGATATATCATAAAGAAAATTCCTGTTTGAGGAGGAATGGAACTAGGTGGTCTCAAAGATCCATTCCCTAAAAATCTATGAATCTGGTCAAAGCACAGATGACAGTGCACTCATGTAACACGTAGATGATACAAAGCTGGGAGGAGGAGCTCACACCGTGGATGAGTGTTTCACATGACATGGGGACGGTGTGGCCAGACAGTATTTTGTACTTGTGAAACTGATTTTCTGAACTCAGATGTAGCACTTTACATTTGCTGCATTAAATTAAATTTTATTGAATTTGGCCCACCGTGGTCAAGATCTTTTTGGGTCCCAACTCTGTCATATAGAGTGCTAACAACTCTTTCCAATTCTACATTGTCTATAAATTTGATTAAACATATCACCTAGCCTTTATCCAGGTCACTCACAAAAATGTTAAAGAACTTAGAACTCAGGTCAGAGTCTGGGACATTCCACTGGAGAAGTCCCTCTAGGATGCCTTCAACCCATTAATGATTACTTTTTAGGTATGGTCATTCAGTAACAACAACAATAATAACAATAGCTAAATTTATATAATGCTTTGAGATTTACAAAGCACTTGACAAATATTATCTCATTTGATCCTCACAACAGCCCGGGGTGGTGGGTGCTATTAATGACCCCATTTTTTTAAACTTTTTTTTTTATTATTTTTAGGCAATTGGGGTTAAGTGACTTGCTCAGGGTCACATAGCCAGTAAGTGTCAAGTGTTTGGTCTGAGGCCGCATTTGAACTCAGGTCCTCCTGACTTCAGGGCTGGTGCTCTATCCACTGAACCACCTAGCTGCCCCAATGACCCCATTTTAGAGATGAGGAAACTGAGGCAGACAAAGATTAAGTGATAGGGTCACAGAGCTAGTGTCTGAGGCTGGATTTGAACTTGAGTCTTCCTGACTCCAGGACTGGCTTTCTATCCAATAGGTCATCTAACTGCCTCAAGCAGTTCCCAATTCACTCCACCATTTTGCCCACATCTCTCTATGTCCACAAAAATAGCATGAGAGCTTTGCCAGAAGCGTTACTGAAATCTAGTTTTAGTATTATTTTTGTTGTTTTTGAAATAAGGAGAGCTGGTTTCAAATGCCAGCTGATACCACCTCACTATGAAGTGATGGAAAGTCATTTCCCATGAAAGACTCAGTTTCCTTTTCCATAAAATGAGGATAACAATCGTTGCACTAGCTTACTCACTGAGCTACTGGAGGAACAAATTTCATGAACCTTCTTAAGAAGTGCAGAAATGGAAGTTATTATCACTACTGTTGTTATTGCTAGAAGGAAGGAATCCGGCTAGGAAACATCATCTGAAGATGTTGGCCTTGGTAGAGGAAGGTTGTTGCCATCCAGGATGCTGGTAGAACCAGGCAGGTAGGAGTTAACCCTCCTTATATTCCCATAACACCAGTTGGGACTCTGAAGGAAGTTAGAGAGTACAGTCTTGAGGCAGGTTGGGTGAACTTTGCCCCAGGATAGCCTGATCTGGGACCCAGCTGTAGACCTCTTTGGGCAAAAAAAATATAAAGCAGTTTTTAGATTTTGGTGGGGAGCTCATGATACCCTAAGAAGCCCCTGACTACTGCTTTTAATTTTCTGGCTAGTGGTTTTTGTTTTTATCTCTCTGAAATGCTTTTCAAAATGTCTTGAGAACTACTTCTACCCTAAGGTAGTAGAATGATTTTAGTAAAAAGACTGTAAAAAGAAAGCTCGTGGACTCGGGAGGCTTGGGGCCTTAAGCTGGGAGTTTAGGAATCAGAGAATTTTAGTAAGAAGTAAAAGGTGAAACAGCCAGGGAGCTAAAGGCAGGTCCCACAGATCAGCTGCGAGAGGCCCAGGGAGATGCCAAAGGGTCAGTGAGGTCTAAGGCCGGGTTAGAGCTTAGCATCCTTCAGGGAGCTGCACACCGATGACTGGTTGGTTGGTTGGCTGGTTGGTGATTGTGTTTCTTTCTCGAACAGAACCGAAATGACATCACTAGAGTGTGTCCGACTGTGACTGATCAGACAGATACGAGCTCGGAAGACTCTACCACAAGTCAGGCACAAATGGTCCATGTGAACATTTGGAGTGCAGACGTCTCTAAATCTGTGCACCTGCCATTTCTTTTGAGTGAAAGGTGAAAGGTCTCTCTTGGGCTTGTGAGCTCTCAGAGAAGGAGAGATCACTCTTATCTTGGCAGGAATCAAAGAAGACTTCTTGGAAGAGGTGGCTGCCACACTGGGCCTGGAAGGATGGATAGAATTTCACAAAGTAGAGGTGGGGGAAGGGCACTTCAGGGTTAGGAAATGGGAGAGAACAAAAGTTTAGATGTTTAAAAAAGAGGACAGGATATGTCTGGGGGATAGATACCCAGTCCGGCTGATGACTTAAGAGCTTATGAGGCAGTTGGAAGACACAGTCAGGAAGGTTAGTTAGGTGGGGACAGACTGTGGAGGACCCAGAATGCTAAGCTGAGGAATCCAGTTATTGGGTAGAAGCCATATTAATACAATGTCACCTTCTCACATTTCTATAGTCTTTTAATACTTACAACCTGGGAGGGAGGTAGCATGAGTGTTAGCCCCATTTTACAGGGTAAGAAACTGAGGCAGGAGAAATAACTTGCCCCTGGTCAGGCAGCTCAGAGATGTCAGAGTGGAAACCAGAACTCAGATCACTAGACTCTTCCCAACCAGGCTGTACGTTCCCCTTGGGAAAGGGCCATCTTCCTCTCAGACTAAGGGCTCCCCGAGGGCACAGGTCCAGTCTCTCAGTCAGGGCCAAGGACTTACCCTCAGGGGTGTGGCCAGATCCAAGTCTTTGGTCTCCTTCAGCCCCAGTGGGATCATGGGGACGCAGATGCCTTCGCTGAAACAAAAGGGACTCTGAGCTCTGAGGTTCAGAACCCTCCCCTGCCCCAGGCTAAGCAGCCAGCCTAGAGAAGCAAGAGGGCTGGATCCATACTTCTTCACCAAAGCCAGATAAATCCTGTAAGGCACTTAGCACCGTATCTGGCACACAGTAGGTGTTTAATAAATGCTTGTTCCTCCCTCCCCATTCTGGGGCTGCTCCTCCACCCTTCAAACCAGACCTCCAAAGACCACACTCAGGAGGAGATAAGCCTAGCCTCCAATGCCCACCCTGGCACCAAACTTCTTAACTCAGGCCATTTTCTGCTCTGTTGCCTCACATGAACTCAGACAGACCCTCCCTTCTACCTCTAGGCTTGAAGAACTGTGTTCAAATCAATACCACTACATCCTCTGGAAAAACATGCCAATGGACTGGCCTATTATTCTATTCATAGCTTTCAGGACTTCCTAGACCAAAAGACCCCCTAAGTGTGTTGTCCATCCTATCAGAAAGCAGCTCCTTAGAAAAAAGTGAAAATAAAAAATAAATATTTAAAAGTAAATAAATAATTTTTTTAAAAAAATAGACATAAAATAAATAAAAATAAAAAACACAGTAAGCTCTTTGCAGGCAGGAAGTACCTTGCTGATGCTTCCATCTCCAGTGATTAGCACAGTGCCCGGCAATCAGTGACTAATAGACGATTTTTCACGTATGCTTTCATTCTAACACCTTCTTAAGTCCCTTCCAATTCCGAGACTCCATGAGCCAGAGCCTCCCCCACCACTCCCCAAGCCAGGAGCCCAAGCCCTATGGTTCCTGCAGTCAGGCTCTCTCACAGCCCTACACCCACGGGATACTAACTTAAAACAAGGCATTAGGGACGAGGTAAGGAAAGGCAGTTATGAGAGCCATTCACATTTCTATAGCACTTTATAAACCTTGAAGCATTTTCCTCATAACAACCTTGCACAGGGAGGAGACCAAGTACCATCGCCACCATCTTCCAGATGGGGAAACTGAGGTTTAGCAAGAAGGAGGGGACTAACTCGCCCAAGGTTACCCAGTTAGTAAGCTATGATGCTGAAATGAGACATTTGGTGATACAGTGTGAAAAGCACTGGTTTGGGTTCAGGAGACTAGGGTTTGAATTCTGGCTCTGCCATTTTTTAGCTGTGTGACCTTGGACAAGGCACTTCCCTCTCCGAGTCTTCATTTTCCTCCTCTGTAATATGGAAGAGTTGGATTAGAATTCAGTACTTATTAAACTGTAGATTAAGAATCACTGAAGGGGTCTCCAGTGGAAAAAGTTTAAGAAGCCCTGGATTAGATGATGTCTAAGGTTCCTTTTGACTTTGATCCCTTGATTACTGTTCTCTTGAACCCAAAGCCATTATTCTTTCTACTTGGCTTCTCGGATAACAATAGTTCTCATTTTTAGAGTGAGAATGACTTAAGACTGACAGAAATCTGTGCCTTTAGGGGGGTGGGGTGGGCAAGGGAAGCAGTCCCTGAAAGAAAAGGCCATGGGGACCCTGAATTAGGGCAACTGGGGGTTACAGAAAATCAATCAATATGAATCTATTAAGTGCCTGCTATGTGCCACTGAGGATACAGAGGAGAAAAGTAAAATAATCCCTGCCCTCAAGGAGCTTCCATTCTAGGGAAAACAAGTATACACGCGTATGTACAAAAATAGTACTCGGTGATTTCAAGGGAGAAGGGGTAGTAGTAGGAAGGAATCAGGAAAGGCCTCAATGGGGAATAGCACTTGAGCTGAGCTCTGAACGGACCTAGGGGCTCTGAAAGGTAGATGAGGAAGGAGGGCATTGCAGGCCTGAGGGACAGCTTGGGCAAGCAAGGGGACAGGGGGTGGAATTTCCACCCGTGGGGAAAAGTCGGAAAGCCTGTTCAGCTGGACAGTAGAATTCATGAAGGGGAATGGTACACAAGAAGCTTAGAAGGCTGGTGGGGATCAGGTTGTGAAGGCTTTTAAGTGCCCAAAAGAGAAGTTTTGTGTTTGACTCTAGAGACAGTAGAAAACCACAGATTCTACCGAGCAAAGTGAGATCTGCGTTTTAGGAATATCAACACGGAAGACGGATCAGAGGAGGGAGAGCCTGGAGGCCCAAGTGGGAGGTCACCACGATAGTTCAGAGGCCAAAAGGGCCTGAACCAGGCTGACTGGGCCAAAGAGAAAGGAACAGAGTCAAGAAACATTTTCCGGAACAATCAACCATACTTGGCCACTTGTGAGGGAGAGGGGAGGGTTGAGGATGACCTCGAAGTCGAACATCTGAGTGACTAACAGACTTGGAAGACAAAGAGAAGGAGGACAGTCAGGCTTGAGATGCCTATAGAATGGCCCACGGAAAGCGTCCCACGGGGAGCTGGAGGGGCTCAGGAGAGAGTCTCAGGCCTGGATGATAACTGCGCCCACGGGAGCTGATGAAATCCCCCAGGAGGGGTGGAGAAAGAAGGAGGAACCCTGGATTTCTGGTAAGAAAACATGGGTTCAAATTCTGACTCCATTGCTTACTAGCTGTGTGACCTTTCCCAGTACCTCATCGGCAAAATGGAGCTATTCATCTTCACCCCACCTCCCCTGGGGGACAAAAGAGAATAACTTAAATATAAAGTACTTGTTGACCATCAAAGTGCCACAGAAACGCTAAACCTTTGTTATTATAAGCTCCAGAGGAGCCAGCACAGAGGAGGCTGGCCTCAGTTTCCCCTTCTTAAAAACAAGAAGTCTGAACTCCAAGCTGGAGCCCCCTCCCCTCCCACCCTGGGCACCTCTCGTTCTGGTACACGTCCACACTGCTGTTCAGCTCCTGCAGCTCCTCCTTCAGCAGCTGCAGGTTGGAATTCACATAGCTCAGTTCCAGGGCGACGGTCTCCTTCACTCGGTGGTTGGTGGTAGCTCTAGGGAAAGAACCACAATGTTTTTTAAAGAATGTCTTGATTTAGGGAGCCTAAAGTAGTTCCTTCAAGAGAGTCTGTTGAAAGAGGTGGGGGACAAGTGTAACTATTAGCCCCATTTCACTGATGGGGAAACCTAAGGCTTAAATCGGGGAAGAGATTAATTGGGCCCAAAGTCACCCCTAGCAATCAGGGAGGCAGAGCTCTGCCACCTTTTTTTCTGAGGGGGGGAAATAAGCATTTACTTAACAACCACTATGCACCAGACACTGTGCCAAGCGTTTTACAAATATTATCTTACTTGATCCTCACAGCAACCCTAAAAGGGAGGTGCTATTATTATGCTCATTTTACAGTTAAGGAAACTGAGGCAGACAGAGACCAAGTGACTTGCCTAGGGGCACACAGCTAGTAAATGTCCGAGACTAGATTTGAACTCAGGTCTTCCTGACTTCAGGCCCAGTGCTCTAACCACTCTATCACCTAGATGAGCCCCACTTTTTTTAAAAACAGGGACATTAAATAAGTGGAAGCTTATTTACATATTTACATACCTTATATATTTATATACAGAGAGCTGTGATTCTGTTATTAGAGGGAAATGCCCATGAGGAGGAAGGAGCCTGGAGAACATTCCATTTGAAACATTTATTGTGGAAAAATGCTGGATGTGAAGTCTGAAGACCCAAGTTTAAATCCTAGCACTAAGACTTAGTATCTGTGAGGCCTTGGGCAAGTCACTTGAAGCAGCCAGGTGGCTAAGCAAAATAGGGCACTGGACTTGGGGCCAGGAAGACCTAAGTTCAAATCCAGCCTCAGAAACTTACCAGCTGTGTGGCCCTGGGCAAGTCACTTTATTTCTCACAGACTCAGTTTCCTCATCTGCAAAATGGGGATAATGCCTCTTCCCTCCCAGGGTTGTTATGAGGATCAAGTGAGGTAAAGTACTTTACAAACCTTACTTAGAAGAGTTCCTACTCTGGTACCATGAGGACTGAAATCCCTCTGAGGAAGCCAGGATGGGGAATACCTCCCACTCCTAGCTCTGGAATTCTAGCCCGGAACTCCTGACTCCTAGACCAGAGCTCTTTCCTTTCATCAACCTGAGTTCCTTCCTCTAGAGTTTTGCCGAGAGGGAGAAAGGGAAGAGGGATTTTCAGGGCACTTTTCTGGGGGGGCAGTGGTTTGAAGGGAGGAATTTGCAATCCAAGACATCCTAAGGCTCCCTGCTTAGGCAAGTCACCTCACTTTCCCAGGCCCAGGCTTCTCATCCTGTAAAGACACAAGTTTGGAGACATCATCTCTATGAGTCTCTTCTACATCTAAATTATATTTAGAGGTAGCAGCGGTGCAGTAGAGATCCAGCAGGGCTAGATCTAAAATCAAAGAAGTTTGCTTTTCATTGTATCCCCAGAACTTAGCACAGTGGCTGGCACACAGTAAGCACTTAATAAATGCTTGTTGATGGTCTGATCTACCTGGATGCAAATCTTGGCTCTGCTACTCACTACCCATGCCTCTAACCCATCTGGGGACCTGTTTCCTCCTTGTTGGACCAGATGATCTCAAAGATCTCTTTCTGCTCTAAATCTGTGCCCTGCGATGCCATAAATCGGCACTGAGACCTTCCTCTGTGAGCCAGGCATCACCAGGTGCTGAGACAGTGCATTCCTCCATCGAGTGGGTCTGAAGGAGCAGGGGAGGCACAGTTGGTTAAGTCTGGAGGCCTGTGGGGGATGGCCAAAGGAGGAGCCGGCCTAGGACAAAGTCATCATGGTTGGGGCTTACATCATCCTCCAAATGTCCCAGGTGACTAAGGCTTGCCCAAGGGGTTGTGGGGGCTGAAATGGGCACAGAGTGGGCAGGGAACATGAGGGTGAGAAAGGACACCTGGAGCTACATACTGAGAGGGAGCCTGAGGGGAGGCACTCTTGCAGAGAAGGAAGAAGTCCTGAAGGAAAGAGAAAGGAGGGGCTGGTGAGTGCAAAGAAGCCAGAAATGATTTCCTCATCCCTGACGGATAAGCACGTGTTTCCTCTCTCCCAGGATACCAACTCACATTTTAACCCCTATCCCAGAAAGACCCTGAAACATGTTAAAGCCCCTGCCCTCAAGAACCTATGCCGATAGAAAAGTCAGCTGGAAATGCCCAATGGACAGTTGGTGAGGTCAGGGTTAGGGAGCCCCCAGAATGGAAAAGAGGACACAGACCCAGCTTCCAGGGAACCCCTAGCATTGGGAAGAGACAGCTGTTGCCTTCAGGATGCCAGAGGATACACTTGGTATCAGGATACACCCAGAATGGCGGGGGGGGAACACAGACCTGATCCTCGGAGAACCCCTAAAATAGGGAGAGGAGACAGAGTCAGCTTCCAGGGAACCCCTAGAATTGGGAGGAGACAGCTGTTGCCTTCAGGACACCAGGGGATACACCTGGTATCAGGATACACCCAGAGTGGCAGGGGGGACACAGACCTGACCCTCGGAGAACCCCTAGAATGGGGGAGAGGAGACAATTTTTGCCTTTAGGAAGCCTCCAAAACTAGATGGGGAGAGATATGGCCCACACAGGTAAGGGGGTTAAGACCGATTTCCACAAGGAGTTTCCCAGAGAATAACTCCGGAATGTGACGTTGCAAAGACCATTCTGAGAACATCTTGGCTAGTTCAGTGCACTCACTTGAAGAGGTTCTCTGCCCCTGTGCGCATCCTCATTTCCTTGTTGATCTGCTGGTTGATCCTGGCCCGGTGGTTCTGCAGGCGGCTCCTCTGGGTCTGGACCAGGGGGCTACAGCCCTGCAGGGAGGTGATTGAAGAGGGTTCATGATAAGACAGATGGCCTGTGCAGCTGGAGACCACAGATCTCCTTCTCCACCTGTCCCTGCTATCATGCCTCCTTCTAGCCTCCGTGGCTCCAAAACTCACCTTCTCCAAGAAGCTTGCTCATAAGAACTTCACCGTGTTGCCTTCTCCTCCTTACCCTGCACATCCTCCAGAAGCTGGACACTTTCCTCTATGCCCTACATTATCGACACAAGCCCACAGGATGGTCACTGTACCTGTGACGTCTGAAGGACAAGATGGCCTGGGTCACATTTCAGAAAATAAAGAGGACTTCTCAATCATTCCAAACTGCTCATAACTATGTCAAATCTCATCTCAAAGAATCACAGAATTGAAGAGCTGGAAGAGGCCTCGGAGGCCTCCAAGTAAGACTTCTGCCTGACTATAACGTTCCCACTAAAAGGTCACCCACCTCTGTCTGAGGACCTCCAATGATGGGAAGCCCAATACTTCCCTCAGAGGCCCACTCTACTTTGGGTTAGCTCTAGTTGCCTCACATCAAGCTTAAGTCTGCATCTCTGCATCTCCCACGCACTATTCCCAGTTCTTCATTCTGAGGCCAAGAAGAACAAATCAAATACCTTACCCCCCATGGCAGTTCTTCAAATATCTTGAAATAACTAACATGACTTAAATCTTCTCTCCTTCAGGCTAAACATTTCCCAGTTCCTTCAGCAAAGCCTCCTATGGTACACTCTCCACTTCTCTCACTATGTTGGTAACCTTCTTCTGGTCCAGGCTGTGAAGCAGGATGCTAGGAACTACACACAGTATAGTCTGATATTTGTATGGTCTGACAAGGGAAGGGCACAGAAGAGATGTTACCTCCTTTGTTCAAGACATTATATCTCTCTTAATGCAGCTTTGAATACCATTAGCCTTTCTGGCCACCATATTGAACCAGTGCAATATACACATTGAGCCAGACATCCACTAAAAAGCTCAAATATTTTCAGATGAAATGCTACCTAGCCACATGTATTGTGTAGACAAGCTAAATGGTTCTGTGACAGACCCAACAATTATTATATACATTCTTCTTCTGCTGCTGCTGCTGCTGCGCTTCTAACATTCAAATTATTTCATTTGGCCAATGGGAGGATTCCATTCAGACGCTGCCCTCTACCCCACCTATTCCCCCCTATCCACTCCTAACTCAGTTGGCTGGGCTTTTCCACTGGGAATTCCCTCAGCTGAATAAATAGAATTGCCCTAATAAGCCAAAGAATGGCATGAATTGTGCTACCAAATGGGTGTCATGTATTGCCACAGCTTCCATGAGGACTACAAGAACTTAGCTCCACAAAGGCCCAGTGGAGCCATGCAGTCATGGGTCACTAATTTGTGTGATGCCTGGTCTTCAACTCTGATCCATCCAAAGATGACCTGGCCTCCAAATACAGGCATACTGGCATCTAGGAGTAGTTTCATGTGAGCCCAGCAAAGGCCCATGTAAAAGACCACCAGCCCAGGTGCCAAGAACACCAAACATACAAACATACATGTAATATCCTTTCAATGCCATATAACCTTTTCAATGCATGAAAGGTGAATGACAAGTAGGTAGCATTCTTGTATTATACTCATTCTTTACCACAGTGCTATCAGTTTGGAGGACTATACAGGTCCCTGGGGGAAGAGCGAGAGTTGTCTTGACTGTTCATGTGTTAAGGTGTGGGTCCCTGGAAAGCCCAAATTCTGATGGTCCCTCAGAAATCACAGTGGAAGTCAAAGTGATATCTACCTATAAAAAATCTAAAACTAAACCTGGTCCATTAGTTAATTTACCATGATAAATTCCACCTCCTAACCCCATCCCCATCCACCTAGATCGAGCCTGGTCCTAGAGTATAGATTTTAGACCATAGCTTATACTCTGCTCAATGAGTTTTTGATTGGTAATATCAAGTGAGGTATAAAATAGAGAGATTATCTGTTTGCAAAAAATGTTCACCACTGGCATGGAATATTTCTAGTGTAGAGTTCAAATATGGAACTATAGATGTTATGCCCTAATAGATAGTTAAAAGGTTCTAGATGCTGCTGGTGGTGGATAACATCATACTGTAGCATGAAGCCCCAGGGTACTAGGGTACAGTCAGAAATCAGATGTTCAACAACTGCACAGGAAAAATGATACGGATGAGGACAACACAAAGGTCTACTGCCCAAACAATGGCATGTAGGTGGGCAGGCAGTCCACTGAGTCAGTCTGTTAGCACAGATGCCTAAGATAGGCACTAGAGATGGAACAATGACCTGGACCCAGATTTGAATAAGAAGATGTGAGCAATCTGGATTGTGTCTGGCAAACGATATAGGGATTTCAAGGCTCCCATACTTTTGCTTAACACAAAAAGCCCATCATTTTAACACCAGTATTTTTCTGATGATGCTATGGTCAGGCAATATGGAACATCACAAGCATAACTAATGCAGAAGACAAAGGAAGACATATGGTAGATCGAATAAGATAAATATTTGTAAAGTGCTTAGCACAGAGCCTGGTACATTGCAGGCCCTCCTTCCCTCCCTCCCTTCCTTCACTTCTTCCTTCTTTCTTCTATCCCTTTCTTTCTTCCCTCCTATAAAAAGGCTGCAGTACATAGCCAGTCCAATAAGAGGAGTAAATGATATTCTCTAGAAGATGCATATTCAGAAAAGGATGTAGGCTGGTTAGGTATCAAGAGTGAGAGAGTGCAGATGGACATACCACATGGGTACCTAGAGAATGTTAAAAGACCTAGAAGTAGGATTCTAGAATGTTGGGTAGATTTTAGGGCAGGTTAGTGGCAGAGCTGGTAGAGCACTAGGTCTATATAGTCAGGAAGACTGTCCTGATCAGGAAATCCAAGAAAAAAAAATCATGAGTCATTTTTCCAGCCCAGCCAGGCACAGAGAGACAGACAGGGAGGTCTCTGGGCACAGGGGACGAGGAATAACCACATGTAGACCATTTCAGAACAAGAAGAGGCAATGTACAAAGGCAAGAAGAATCCCCAGATCCATTAGAGACAGGCCTAATCTTCTGAAGGGTGCAAGAGCAGGTGCCAACTGGCAGCTCAGTTATTCTCTGCTCAGTTCCGGGTCACAAATCCTGGACAGACTAGGGGTGGCATTTCAGGGTGCTGAAGGCTGTAAGCTATGTACCATAGCCGTACCATACACCTGCAGCTGTATGGCTGACCTCAGAAGCAAAGTAGAGCTGAGGTCTAAGTTCCAGCCTCTAGCCCAGTCTGAACCCTGCAGCAGAATAATCAACAAAGAAATCGCAAACCAAGGAAGAAACTGCAGTTATGTCACTGAATAAGTAGAACTCTGCAGTTAGCTGACAGTGACTGAGTCCAACAGCAGTCTACTGGAACTCCAAATGTGGCAAAACCACAGGCCTGTTGCTCATACCCAAACCCAGGTAAGGAACTCTGCAGAAGACAACAATCAGACTTTACCCTAGATTCAACCACTGAAAGATTAAGGATTCTCCCTTCTAGGCTGTCCCTGAAATTATGGAATAAAACAATATTCAATAATCTTCAGAAAGCAACAGCAAGTCTAACCCAGACATTCCCTCCATAAGTATGCAGAGCCTGGCCCTAACATAAAATTTAAAGTCAGGAAGTAGGCTGAAAGAATGAGAAAACAAAAGAGAATCTCACCCTAAAAAGCTATTATGGAGACAGGGATACTCAAAATACAAACTATGAAAAAGAAAATTAACTCCAAAACATCTACAAAGAAAAACATAGCTTGGGCATAAGTTCAACCAGAATTTCTAGGGAAGATAAAGCAAATTTTTTTTAAATGAGTTAAAATTTTTTTATAAATAAATGGGTTCTCTAGAGAAAAAAATGGAAAAGAAACGAGAAAGAAATGGAAGAAATAATTAGAAATGGAATTAATAGCTTGGAAAAAGACATACAAAAACATTCCCAAGCAATAAACTCCCTGAAAATTAGAATGGACCACATAGAAGCTAATGACTCCATAAGACAAAAGAAATATTGAAACAAAATGAAAAGGCTAAAAAAAAAGAAAATATAAGATATCTCATAGCAAAAACAACTGACCTGCAAAACAGATTGAAGAGAGATAATTTAATCTGTGAACTATCAAAAAAGCCATTACCATAAAAAAATCCTCCACATATTTCAAGAAATCTTAAAAAGAAAATTTCCCAGATCTCTTAAAAGCAGAAGGCTAAGTGAAAATAGGAAGAATCTACCAGTCACCTCCTGACAGAAACCCCAAAATGAAAATTCTCAGTAACATTAGAACTAAAATCCAGAACTTCCAGATCAAAGAAGAAGAAAAAACAAAACAAAACAAAACACTGCAAGCATCCAGAAAGAATTCAAGTACCAAGGAGCCACAAAGATCACACAAGATTTAACAACTACCACCATAAAGAAGTGGATAGCTTACAATATGATATTCCAGAAAGCAAAAGATACAGACTTACAACTAAGAATAACTTACTCAGCAAAACTGAGTATAAAATCCTACAGGGGGAAAAAACGAACCTTTAATGAAACAGAGGACTTCTAAGCATTCCTGATGAAAAGACCATAGAAACTTTTAAAACCAAAAAAAGAATCGAGAAAGACATAAAAAGGTAAACATAAGTGAGCAATGATACATGTGTCCCCTCAGAACCCTTTCAATGATCACCAGAGGTCACAGAAGGAGTCTAATAGTCTAATAAGACAGATGGGCTGGGACTAGTTTTGTTATGTTTTGATGATCTCAAAAGAATGGAAAGGGAGAGGAAAAGGAATATACTGGGGGAGGGGGGGACAAAGAGAGAGAAATGAGAGGGAAAATTATATCCCAAAATTGAAATGAGCAAGTAAAAGTCTATATAAACAAGGAGGAAGTAGTGAACCCCTCATCTGAACACACACACACACACACACACACACACACACACACACACACACCCCCTAGGTACTGAA